TCGTGGGTCCAATCGTCAATCTGATCATACCAGCAGAGAGATACACTCGTCCCGAACGCAGACATATAGTTTTTATGTTTGTGGAGTCAAAAATGCGATCTTAGTTACAAGTTAAAGATGTGTTGGCCCTCATCTTTTCTTTCCAAGATTGTCATGAGGTTTTGTGTCACGTCACCTTGAGCGCTTATAAAATCCAAACCATTCAAGTAATGACAGAGTGGTTCAGAAGTTATGTTCAGCATGGGTTGAGCTGTCATGTGTGCGAGTTTGAAGCCGATACGATAAACGGTGTAGGAGGAAATACTTTTTGAGAAAGAGAATTTTTGAAAAACGACATGATACTTTGAAAGGGCAAATAGCTCACTTCCTGATGGATTTAGGTCAGGGGTGTCAGTGCATGATTTGTAGGTCTGGATGAGACAAACAGGCCAGTTTTGGTTTGATCTTTCTACGACATTCCTATGGGCTGCAGCGGCCATTTTAGTGTGCCTAGGTGGCGCTAGAGAGCCCATTTTGGCACTTAAGGGTTGTCATTGAAGTGGCTGCTTCAACATTCCAAAGTTCCTAGGCCACTTAGTTTGTGAGGTGTCTCGGTTTTGACTTGAAATTACTACGATCCAAACCAGCATGAACCTCACGTTGTCTTTATGCACAACGTTATCCACAATCTCGTTTTGTCATGCCCACTTATCTGCCTTACAGCACCATACCTGGTGAAAATAACTTGTGCCTGTATTCTAACAAATAAATAACTATAAACTAGGGCTGCCAAGGAGTTAAAAAATGAATCTAATTAATTACATGCTCTTTTATTGATTAATCTACATTAATTGCATTCATCAGCTTTTGCTGTTAAAGTATTTTAAAAATGTCAATTCAAATGAATTTTGGTAGATGTGTCGTAGTAAAGCTGCTGGATTTTAGACACAATTGCCCCCCAGTCCTCTACCACCGAAACTAGTCTGCCATCTATTGCAGTCCATTTTGTAAGGGAGTTAGTGAGTCTGTCACAGGTAGACTTGCTCAGTTTGCATCTGAACGCCTGGTCTAGTGTGGCTTGACGAGGCTGGCTGCTAGCGCTAGCATCAGAGGCTGCGCTAGCTCGGACCTCTGGGTTCACTGCTAAATGTTTTGCGTTGCGGTGATATTTCGGGCTTGAAGTACTCTGATAGTACGAAAATTACTTACTGTAGAAATTGCAGAGAGCGGTGCTCCTATCAACAGTTCCATCTGGCTGTTTTTTAAATGTAAATGTTGCATTCGCGAGACCAAGCAGCGTCGTCTTGTCTGCCTCCATCATGTGACAAAGCCACTGTGGCCTTCAATGACGCATCAGGTCAAAGGGCACCATGGAAAGCGATTAATCGGCGTAAATTTTTGAATGCGTTATTTTTTCTGTAATTGATTAATCAAAATTGGCGCGTTATTTTGACAGCCCTAATATAAACATACCCTCAGTATAGCCTGCTGCTATACACTATTTAAAATATACAGAAAATGTTGTGTAAACTTAAATAATAGCGACATATATGATGTGTCATATCAACACAGAAATTTTTGCCAAATATAAATATGTGCTTAAGGGGCTCTTACAGTCACGATACTGGAATTTCTAACTTCCATACAATACCTTGAAAAGTGTTGATGTCCGATACCATGTGGGAAAAAAATTGACATTAAGGGCGGAATTTTTTTTTTTTTTTTTTTTTTTATAAAAAATAAATATAATATGACAACAATGACTCATCTTTTCCTGGTTAGTAGCAGAGGACACTAGAATGACTGCAGTAAATATCAACAATGATATAGAGCAAGAAAGAGCAGGTTGTACTAGTGTATCAATACTGTGGATAACAAGTTTTAAAACCGCTTTAAATATTCAGAATCAAGCATCTATAAATTGATATTTATGAGTACACTGCTACAGGCCCATTTCTGTTAAACTAAAAGGTACTGAGATTTGACACAACGCTCAATTTAGGAGTCTTCCACTTGACTAGAAGGCACAAAACGTAAATAGTGGAGCCATTGTGGCCAGAACTTTCTTAAAAAATGTGATGTACTGATCTGTTTTGTGGTTAAATAAAGATTAAATTAAAAAAATGTTAAATGTGTAAAAGTCCACAACACTAAAACACAGGTCAAGAATAAAGAACATGGACGAGTTGGGCTGCATACACCAAACAAATTACTGAGCCATATTGTCTTTAATAAAATCCTGGTGAATGAGTAGAAATTGATAGAAAATGATAAAGATTGTGAACACATATTGTGTAAATGTCCGGCTAATTTTTCCGAATTACCCGCCGCACTGACTGACCACAAACCACCAGATCAGTTTACAAGGTTACAGCACTCTATCTTACTATCGCTGCAGTGAAAGTCAGCTTCAGTATTGATTGATGGGCACTGTAGCACTTAGACTGAAGTGTGATTGAATTAAAGTGGCTTTTTAAGCAGTGTGTGCCGTCGCTGTGTGAAAACGCTGTGTGAAAATGTGATGAGGTAAATGAATATCATGTTTTGCTTTTTTTCCCCCTCCAAAGGCTATTTTTCCATGTTTGTGTGAACGTGTGTATTCGAAACTGCGTCCTCGTGTGTGTATTTGTTTATGCATTCATGTGTGCATGTCCCGCAGCGCGAGGAGAGGACGTGTTGTCGTGACATTATGAGACGATGAGGTGTGGAAAGCAGGACTTTGCACCCCAGCCCTTCTAAACAGCTAATGGAGGTGCAAGGCCGAAGCAGAGTATCAGTTACCGATGCTGTGCTTTCAAGTGAAGGAGTGCTTGCTGAGTTTGCACACTTTTAAGAAGGCTGAATTTTCAGGTGGACGAGCTCTTAGTAAAGGAGGTGTTTTTAGATTGTATTACGTAACTGTGTAAAGAGCCTTAAACAAGTGTGCACAAGGCTACATGTCTCTGGGTGTACGCCTGCTTGCGTTGCATATTGGTCCTCCGCGGTACGTGTGTATGTGTGTGTGTGGGTGTGAGTGTGAATATTATCCTGTCACTGGATGATGGCAACTGGCTTCACTTGAAAGCAATAGCTTTCCTGGACATGCACTCTGTTGGTCAGGACCCCAGAGCCATCTACTATATTAGATTGAAGTATGTCCAGTCAGCAGACTGACAGGACACCGTGCCCTGACCTTACCTTATGAAGTCTGGCTCCCACACCGCTGAGCGTTTCGCAGGGCTTCACAATGAGAATAGACTGTGGTATGAATGGAGATATGAGCTACGATTAGCAGACAGTTTTCTACATGTAGTTACTTTTCAAGCATTTAAAATCAGGAGTGAAGCTGAAACACTGCTGATTTGAATATGATGAAGTTCTTTAATGTGCAGCTTCATCTGTGATTGAAGTTTTCTGTAAAACAGTAATCAGATGCTTCCATTCTTTTAGCCTCACAATGCAAACAGTAAATTAGTTTCTTTGTTTTCTTACTGAACATAATTAGCTTGAGCTTAAATCCATAATAAGCTAATTAAAGGGACAGTTCACCTCAAAACCAATAATATGTATTTTCCCCTTTACCTGTAGTGGTATTAATCAGTCGTAATTGTTTTGATGTGAGTTGCCAGGTGTTGGAGATATCAGCTGTAGAGATGTCTGCCTTCTCTTAAATATAATGGAACTAAATGGCACTCGGCTTGTGGTGCTCAAAGCAACAAAAAAATACATTTGAAAAACTCAATAGCAATGTCTCTTTCCAGGAATTCATGACCCGGTTATTCAAGATAATCCACATCATTGTTGTGAGCAGTTTCATGTAGGAGCTATTTTCTGTCTACCGAACTACACCCACCAACCAGCCTCTCGTATATGAGTAGATGCACGCTTCCCTCTGCATGGTGATGCAGTGCAGTGGGTAGGTGTAGTTTTATAGCAGTGGTTCGCTGGTTAGCTTTTATTATGAAGTGCCATTTTCTGCTGTAGAGTGGGTGATTAACTGCCAGGTACATGAGAGAGACGGCAAATTAGCTCAACAACATGGCCAATTCAAGTGTGATGCTGAATATATTCAACTGTGTGGATGCTGAACTAATGACTAAGGAGAAATCTTTACCCTGTGGCTGGACCAGTTGGGAACCACTGTTGAAACTGCTCACAACAAGGTCTGTGGATTATCTGGAGTAACTGGGTCATCATTTCGTAAAGAGATATCACTGTTGAGTTTTTTAAATGTATTTTCTGGCACTTTGAGCACCACAAGCTGAGTGCCATCTAGCTTTATTACATTGAAGAGAAGGCAGACACCTCTATGGCCGATATCTCCAACACTTGGCAACTCACACCAAAACAATCCAGACTTACTAATAGAACTACGGTTAAGACAAACTATATGTATGTTTCATTTTTGGGTGAACTGTCCCTTTAAGTCCCTCTGTCGTTAGTGTATGTGTGTACATGCACATGTGTAGGTGCCATACTGTATCCTTCCCTCTGTCTGCAAAGTGTCTGTGTGCTCCTCGTGTGTGTCTGTTACCCTTTAAGGGTGTGTGCTTGCGCATACTTACACTCCACTCATCCAGAGCTATGGTGTAAGTATGGCAGTGTTGAATAATGCAAAGAGCCTCAGACTCACCACTGAGCAGACACCATGGGGCCTCTCAGCTCAAGACATATCGTTCTGTATTATGCTGTGCTGTACACTTGTGCCTTCACAGACAGAATAATATTACCGTGGAGGTACATGCCAGCAAAGATTACCCCGATATGACTCTGTTACAGCAGATTGTGTGACAGTTAAACATGCAGGATGTTGTGGTTTCCCTCACAGAGCTATGAGCCATACAAAATTCCATACGAGCATGTTGTAAATACACATAACCGCATACACAAATTGCGAGCAAACTCAGACAATATGTTTTCACCCGAGAATCTTAAACACTCTTGTAAATGCTGTCAGCCGCTGGGATGTTTGCGATTGATCCTACAGAAGGCAAATGTAAAAGTCACTGTGTTGAAGTATTTCTCCATTTCCTTTGTTGCAGAAGTAGCAGATTTTCGCTCTGGGATTTTCAGATGAAGGCTACCTGACATGTTGCTGAAATCGCTACAGAGCCAGGTGAGAAACATTAAAAACAGCAGCAGCTGCGGCCCTCTGCTGCGCACATGTGGGCCAGGATATGAGCTAGCATGAGCTCTCCCACTGTCAACACTGGTCACTATTGTTAACACTCTCCTCTCTGAAGCACAAAATCAGTACTGAGGAAAGAAAGGGAAGGCATGGTGGAATCAGTATTTACAGTTTATTGCAATGTATTCTATGTTGGGAGCTGTCATGCTTAACTTTAGGACAGTGGTTCCCAATCGTTTTGATGTGTGACTCTTTAAAGGTCCAGTGTGTTGGATTTAGGGGGACATATTGGCAGAAATAAAATATAATAAGTGTGTTTTCTTTATTTTATAATCACTGGAAAAAAAGAATTGTTGTGTTTTTGTTACCTTAGAAGAAGCCATTTATTTCTACATAGGGAGCAGGTCCCCGACTACGGAGATCAGCGTGTTGCACTGCCATGTTTCTACAGTGGCCAAGAACAGACAAACACTGGCTCTAGATAAGGCCATTCCCATTTCTGAGTTCGCAGCCCCTCTGCAATGACAGCAACGGAAAAAAACACTTTTGGAGACGCAGATGGTGAGGTGGTGAATTGACGCCAGATTGTAGAAATTAAATGTGCGAGGAATTGTATAATAATGTCTCTCACACGTTTAAATTCGCCTCATATCACACGGTACTTTTAGATCCGCTTTATCATAAACATTTAATCCACCCACTTTATTTTTGCTCATGCTCATGAGCCATACTTTTTCCATAAGCACCTCTCAGCTCAATATTTCATCAGCTCGGTCTCACCATCACATTCCCAAATCCAGAGCGCAGAGGAGAGGGGTAGACTGTGTGCTGCTGACGGCCGTGGTCAGCTGTGGAGCGCACATCAAATAGCATTAGATAATTGCAAAACAGAGCGTCAACAGTTTTCAATAATATCTTCCAATACTGTTAGCACATGTCACCAAGTACGACTTTAGTTTTCATATAGTGTTTGTATGTAAAAAATCACTGAGGTGAACATGACTATGCACTTGGGACGTCACAGTGTTGCCATACACACTCCCTCTCCAGTCACCTTACATACATCTTCACCACCTGCACGTATAGATTATGTAAATTAGTAAAGTCTAGAAATATCGCCAGTGATGGCTCTCACACAATTATTATAACAAACTTAAATAGATAGATAAATAATAATATCCCAGGGTCGGGGATACACTGACTGTCACAATCATTTTGGCACGGTGTGAAACAATCAGTCTAAATGCTGTACACATATAAACACTGCACTGACACTCAGTTGTTGCCATGATTCACCCGTAAAGACACTCATCAGCAGGCTCATTTCTATGCATCAGCATTCACGAGGGGCTTTGCATACATCATTTATAGTTGAATGTGGGCGTTTAGAGGGCATAATATAAAGCTGATCCATGTGCAGACAATTCCAAGTTGATTTGGGATTTAGAAAAGGAAATTGCGCACTGTCAGGCGTGGGCAGAAATATTTTTTGCTGCACGCCATTTCCTGCTGTTGTCCACACATACACTTTTAGTATGGATCCTATGAACAAGACCTCAGGTCGGTTTGTTTAGGAGAGGAAGAGACCTCTGTGGAAAATTCAGCTCCCGGTAAAAACCTTCTAAAGAGTGAATGCTTAAGGAATTATAACCAGGAGAAGTTATCGGCAGTCCTCACCGCTAACTGCCTCTAAATCCCCTTAAATCTTACACACTGTTCCTTTAAAGCATTTTCTACTTGCAACCTCATTGGCATTTTGTTGCAACAAGTTGCAAGCAGTTCAACCAAAGAGGGATTTTCATTCACATATTGTAATATAAAGGCTTGTAGAGGAAAACTTTCATACGGTTCACAATAAAAAAGCAAAGATTAAAGATAATGTATGGTAGAAAAATATAGTTTTTGTCTTTCTAATCATCACTTGACCTCTTGAGACAGTATTTTTTGAATGTAACATTGTGTGTAATAGTTTGAGGTTAAACTATCATCCATTATTTTGAGTGTACAGTACCCCTTAAGTTATTTGCTGGTCACATTTGAATATGGAAAAACCTTGGCCATAAAATTTGTTTGGGACATATGCACCTTGTTGGATCATTTGAATTCCCCCCTGAGCTGGAGCCATGAACCGGGTGACCAGGTTGTCACGTTGTGTTCTGAACACACACAGACTCTGGTCACACCGGTGAGGCATCCCAGAGGAGAGTGGCATGTGTGTTTGTGTTTCAGTGAATCATAACTGCTGTTTTGCATTCATCGAGGTGTGTCAAAGCGGATTACCTGCATGAACGGGGACCTGAAATGACTTTGTTTTTAAAGACTGTCCTTTGGGGTGAGGTAGTAGGTTGTATAGTTTTAGGGTCATACCCTTCCTGTCAGATAACTATACAACTTACTGTCTTTCCTGAAGTGGCTGTAATGTCATCAGATGCCAATGTTGGAGCTTTTGGATCTGGATCGACACTGGAGTGTGCATGTTTACCTACTGACAGCTAAGAACTCATTTGCAGCGTTGTAGGTCATTTAGGGTTGTTGCTGTAGGTAGTTTTCTGTCTCGTGATTTTCATGGTTTCATTTTTTTGGTAAATAAAATATTTTCTTTAACCATTTTCAGTGTTTTTTGTGTTACAAATTTCTCTAGAAATAAAATGTGTTAGTCTTTAAAATGTGATAAGATGTTTTTATGTACTCAGTGTCTTTTCGTCACGCTACTTTAATGCTCTTCAGCACACCAGTGCTCGCCAACCTGTACGACCCTTCTGATGTTCGAACGGGGTGAGGTAGTAGGTTGTGTGGTTTCAGGGTAGTGATTTTGCCCAATCAGGAGATAACTATACAACCTACTGCCTTCCCTGAAGGGCAGCAATACATCACCATGCAGGCAACAGGGAGCGTCTCTCTCACAGCATCAGAAAAACTCCCAAAATCAACAAACCAAACCAGTTGAACCGTCTGGCCCTGAGTCACCAATCCGCTTCTCACCTGGAACGTAGGCGTCCACGGCCAATCATAACAGCAGAGGACCAGCAGGTACAGTCTGTTCACTGTGGGATTTGTCTTTGATTTGGTTTTGTTTGTTTTTCTTCTGCTTCAAACATCAATAAAAAAGTAGATGATGAATCAGTTTGTCTTGGGCATTTATTTGTGTTCTCCTACTTGTTCTCACATCTTGTAAAGGTCAATTTAAATGTTGGTGACTTTGAAGCTATTTGTAGTTGAATGACTGCGTGGTGCCAAATGGTTTCAAAGCACTGTCATTCTGTCATGATGAAGTATACATGTAATATATTGTAGTAGTTTTCGCTCTTTTCTGGTGGAAGCCACATCTTAAATGGACCTTTTACCACAAAATCAAAAATACATATTTTTCCTCCTACCTGTTGTGCTTTTTATTAGTCTAGTGTTGGAGATATCGGCCGTAGAGATGTCTGCCTTCTCTCAAATATAATGTAACTAGATGACACTCAGCTCGTGGTGCTCAAAATGTATTTGAAAAACTCAACAGCAATGTCTCTCTCCAGAGGTTAGGACTCTGTTAATCATGATAACTCACAGACCTTGTTGTGAACAGATTTTTTCATCTAGCACCACTGAGCTAGCGAATGTTACAGCTCAGCTGAGGAAGACGTTTACATCTTGCACTGTCGTGAGCAGGAGCCTCTCGTCCATGAGTAGATGCACACTTCCTCCTGCTAGGTGATGGGTTGGTGCAGTCCAGTAGAAAGGACTGGATTATCTTAAGTCACCAGGTCATGATTTCTTAAAGAGTTTTTCAAATGTATTTTTTTGGCGCTTTCATGAAGGAACAATTTTCTTTTTGCCGAACTGCGCCTGTCAAGTGTATCCATGTAGAAGGAAGTGTACATCTTCTCATGGACAAGAGGCTCATGGTAGTGCGAGGTGTAAACATTGATGGCGTCCTCCTCGGCTGAGCTGTAACATCAGCTAGCTCAGTGGTGCTAGGTGTGCTAGCAGTAGATGCACGCTTCCTTGTGTGCAGTGTAGGGCTGTCAAAATTGCTCAAAAATGACATTTGAGTATTCCTTCTAAAAATAGAATAGAATAAAAAATTTTGAGTAACTAGGTCATGATTTCTGGAAGTCAGAGACATTGCTGTTGAGTTTTTCAAATGTATTATTTATTTATTTATTTATTTGTTGGCACTTTGAGCACCAAAAAACCAAGTACCATTTAGTTCCATTACATTTGAGAGAAGACAGACATCTCTACGGCCGATATCTCCAACACTCGGCAACTCACACCAAAACTGTCTAGATTGATAAACAGCACTACAGGTAAGAGGAAAAATATGTTTTGGATTTTTGTGTGAACTGTCCCTTTAACACCAACTTATCAAGTACCAAATTCTAGTAAATCCTCTGTTGGTGGCGATGAGTTTATCAACTCTCATCATATCATTGAATTTTGGAAAGTATCTGTGAAAAGCCCTGACTTGACCACCTTCATCCTTCCCTGGGATCAGCCAGCAGCTCAGAGCAGAGCAGATGGAAAGAAGAGCCGTGGCACGGTCTCACCTCCTGGGCTACAGCATGATTCATATGGCAACAGATGATGGTTACAGTATTCCATCTCTCTCTGGCCAGCAGCACACATAAATACACAAACACACACACACACACACACACATATACACACATGTACACACAGCGAGATGACGAGGTGAGTGCCAGCCAGTATCAGGCCAACTTGGGCCTCGTGCCTCACTGTGTGAGAGTGCAGCTCTGTATCTCACATCAAGGTCAGACTCGCGGGTTGTCATTCACAGCGAGAGCCCTCACTCACCCCTGTATCTTCACTCTACTGTCACACAACCAGAGACTAACTTTGTCACACAGGTAACTTATATACAGATGCATTATAATTCTACTGTACACACTTGTACCGCCTCAGTTTGCACATATTTTGCGCCTCATTTTGCGTGTCATGGTTTCACATAAATCACTCATACCAAACGTGCTGAGCTAGTTACACATTCACCAAATGTCTCAGACACAGTGAAAAGGATTATGTGACAGCACATTGCTGGAGTAGCACAGCACAGAGTGGCAACATTGCAACATGGGAAGGAAAAACTACCACTGTGCTGCATCGTATGTGTCTAGACTAGTGTTGGATGTGTTTGTATGTGGGCTGCACCCACCGTGTAGCTGTCCCCCGCCAGCCACCATATTGAATTGATTTGAGCCTTGGCCCTGGTGATAGAGCAAAGTGAGCTGAATACTAAGCCTGATGAGACAATGGCTCTGTGTGCATC